AAATTTATATTCATCTGGTAAGTTTATCATCAAACTTTCTTAATAATAAATATCTGTCTGTAACCTTTAGCGTAATCTCTCCTAAACTTACAATATCATCAAAATCAAATCCTCTTTAGACGAGATAATTTTTTATAAGATTTAACAAATTTGTTTAGTGTCTCCTCAAGTAGTCTACCAAAGAAACGTATAATGCACATTATTGTTGGACAAGTCATTGATGTTATATGTGTAAAAAATTGGCATGCACTACTATACATATCTTCTATTTTTTTTCAAAAAGCAATTATTCTTTAATGCTTGTTCTAATATTCTGTCTTTTCTCTTTAAAGTTGCCGTAAATTATTTTGGATTTGTTTCCTGTGCATTTACCTTACGAAAACATTTTATGAAGTATCATATATTGCTAAATTATGGTTTATTCACTGTGATAATATTGAATTAATCATCTGACGTTATACAGGGGCGTTTATTTTTTTAATTGTAAAGCACCGACCTGGTTTCAACTACAGTGTAATTTAATAATATTAATGTCGACCAAGAAGAAGAAAATCAATAAATAGCGCTCGAATTTATTATTTTAACAGGAAATGTGGCTTCTGCTGGCCCTTGTTGGACAAGGTAGAGGTAAGTACATATTGAATATACTTTTGTATAATTGTTTTAAATTTTACATTTTGCCTTAGTCTTCTGAACGATTCAAATGAATTCTAAATAGATTTCTTCTAATAGTTCATATTGTTTGACCAATAGGCTATAACAATTTGTTCTAACATTCTTATTGAACATTTTTGACCTAATTTCTAAGGTCATGACTCTTTGGCATGGCAGTAAAGTCCTGTGACAAGTAAAGTGATGCTGTAGTATAGTGACACCTCAATTTAATTTACTTTCAATTTTAAGAAGCCTTCGTTCCTGTCCTACCTTTAATGTCCCCTTTTGTAGAGTTGATGTCTGTAAACGTAGTTTTAATTCTAGACTTACTCTTCAATATAATTCTCTTATTTTAACCTCTAATATTGACATTTTTTTTTAAACGTGCATTTTTTATGTGCCGCTCCTACATTATGGAATGCTCTTCCTCTTGAAATCAGAACTTCATCTTCTGTCAGTATGTTTAAGAAAATGTTAAAAACTTACGTGGCCAGACCTTTCACCGACAGATATTTGGCCGACAGACATTTGGCCTACAGACTATCGACCGAAATACCATTTCGGCGAATGCCAGTTTGCTGATAGGACGTTTCGCCGACAGCCAATTTGCCGACAGGCAATTCGCCGAAAATTTTAATGGATGGATGTGCCACCAGGTGCCATATTTAAAAAAAATTAATTTTCGTTGCCTGACGTTTCACCGACAGACATTTTGCCTATAGACTATCGACCGAAATACCATTCGCCCACACGAGATTTTGCCTACACCACAATTCGCCGAATGCCAGTTTGCCGACAGGGTGGTTCGCCGACAGCCAGTTTACCGACAGCGAATTCGTCGACATTTTTTAACATGTTATTGGATGGATGTGTCACATAGTGGCATATTCAGATGATTCACCAACAGACATTTGGCCTAAAGACTATTTACCGAAATACCATTGGCCGACACGAAATTTTGCCGACACCACATTTCCCCGAATGCCAGTTTACCGACAGGACGATTCGCCGACATTTTTTGTGAACATGTTAATGGATTGATGTGTCACAAGTGGCATATAGATGATTTATTTTTCGCTTACGTGTCCAAAACCTTTCTAGTACCGAATATTGTGCACAGCTTACACACTGTGATAGAGCTAAAAGTTCATGATAAGAAGAATTAGTAGGCCACTGTTTAAATCGTGAATTAATTATTCTATTCTAGTAACGTATTACTATTCTTTATAATAATAGAAGGGCCGTAATAATCTGGGGAAAGTATATAGTTTACATTTCATTTTTCCTTAAATTTGCAGTAAATTCACACCTTGTATCTTCTAGCCTGTCTTACTTTTTATATCAATTTGTACCAATTAAAAACAATGCCCTTTATATTGGTTTAGTTATTACAGTCGCTTATGATTTCTTAGTAATATTTAATAAAAATATACATGAACGTGTGTTTTTTATAGGCCTGTATTAAATATTTTTGCCAGAATCTTGTTGCATGATTAATATATTGAAAGTGCGTCTGTATGTATGAATACCCAGACGGCGAATTCGATTTCGGCGAATGCCGGTGTCGCTGAATGTTCTTTCGGTCAAGTGTCTGTCGTCAAAACGTCCGTCGGCAAACTGGCATTCGGCGAACTGTCCTAGTACGACAAAGAATCATCAATCACATCACAAAAATAAATTGTCGGCGAAATGTCAGTCGACGAATTGGTTGTCGGCGAATTGGCTGTCGGCGAATCGTCCAGTCAGCGAATTCGATTTCGGCGAATTCCGGTGTCAGTGAATTTTCTTTCGGCCAATTGTCTGTCAGCCAAATGTCTGTCGGCAAAATGGCATTCGGCGAAATGTCCTAGTACCAAAAACTTAACTCTTCTCCATCTCACTCTAAGTTGTTGTTTTTTTTACACACATGTAAATTGTTTATTTTTTGTTTTTGTATTTTTTTAAAAAAAGCATTTTCCATAATTCTACAAGTATTGCTAATTAACAGCAGTTAATGTGCACTTTGAGTAATGCAATTGTCATAGCGCCACTGAACATTGCATTGTGCAGTGTATATTGGCGCTTTATTAATCCTTCTTGATTGATTGACTGATAACAAGTGTCCCAACAAGCAAAATAAAAAAATATCTTTTTTATGTTGAATCGTATGAATTTAATGTAATTTTAAGTAGTGGGATTTATGTAGCGTTTTGTACCGAAGCCGCTCGAGGTGGACTAGGTCGTACAGCAACTTGTTTTTCCCCTAAGGGTCTCTTCTTGTTTAAGCTATCCGGTAACCGGTACCAGCTACTCTTGTCTTTCCACAAAAGGGGCTGTATGAACCAGTACACCGGGGTGACCCCCCTACTCGTCTTGAAAGATGTACTGGTTTCTTTAAAGTGTACATGAGCCAAATTATGTACGCTGAGCCTACGATTTATACTGCTTATCCGATAAGACTCATTTCATCACCATAACCATTATACAAGCTTGCCGTTCAAATTAGCGACGTTGCGGCGCCCTTGCCTTGACCGCTCGGCCACTCGACTCGCCATATATTGAGTCTTCAATTAACGGTATGTGACAAGAACAATAAAAAAAAGTTCATATTAGTAACTAGACGGTGCGCTCTCGCACTTCGCTCGCTTACCCTCTAGTATGTGAACGTCACGATTATTTCGATAAAAGGAACAATATTATGGCCACTAAAAGAAGATAGGTTGCATGTTGCATGTCATCTCGCTCAGTTGTTATGTCAGAAATGCAGTTACATAGGCCTATATCATTCTTTAAAACATGCAAGTATTTAGAAACCACTAAAATGAGATGAGACAATATTGATCTGGGCAGCTAAAGCAAAATTTTACTGTAACTCATTGATAAGCCGAAAACCGACTGTGCTTGAAGAAATCGACTGTGTTTATTAACTGACTGTGTATGAAATCCGAATGTGGTTGTAAATCGATTGTTTGAAAGTTCACTTTTGACGTTCCATATAAAACCGGACGCGGAAGTACGTACGTATAGTTGCTTTTTTGGCGTTCCATATAAAAGCACAATGTAAACAGGCAATCAGTCAGACCATGTGGTCGCGGGACAGCTACACTGGTGGAAAAACTACGGTAAAATTGAAAATATACGTAATTGTAATTGTATGTTCTCACTGTTATTTTTTACTACTGTACTTTGTTTTCACCTACTTCATCAAAATTTCATTTTTAATTACAGTAGAACCCCTATTAAGGGACAACATGGGACAAAAAAGTGTCCCCTTAATAGTGTACGTCTATTCAGGGGACACTAACGGAAAATGTGAAATTGTCCCCTTAATAGGGATTACATACATTCTTTTTAATTGACATAATTTTACCTTAGAACTAATTTATAGCAATAATTTGCAATGCAAATCTACAATTCATTTATGAAATTAACAGTAGGCCAGTGATTAGAACAACAATAGTTGTATATTCCCAAAATAGTTTCATGATGCAACGTTAATTACCCAAATATTATTTTTTAATATTATGATATGAATTAGAATCTAATGAAAGTACAGGAAAATAGGAAGAAAAAGAAATACTCATGCTTAAGAGTCAATTGACAAGATTGGTTTTTTGAAGTAACACATAGTACCGTAGGCCTTACTGATATTCACTCTAAGGATTCGGGGAGAAAATTCTGGTTTATTACTCAAATTTCAAAATTCAATTTTTATTTCATTAAAACGGAAAATAGGCCTATACTAAAATAATTAAAATAAAAACTTGACAAATTCTCAAAATACAAAATTCAATCAAAATAACATAAGGAGAGAACATAACACCACTTTAA